GTTAAGATAAAGTTAAAGGTAACTTAGCGTCAAACATCTACAGAGGTGTGACGCCTCCATATCCTGGAGGCTGTTATGAGACCTACAGAGCCGGGTTACCATCGGGGGAATTACTGCTCGGTTTCTTCTGTCAGAGGAAATGTCGGAGCGTATTGGGTATTGACACAACGGCCATTGGCCGGCGTGGTATCCTGGGTCTGTGTGACTGCCTAGGTTCTTCTCGAGGCAATCGCAGGAGTCTGAAAGTATCTCATGGCAAGATGTGTATAGGGATTGTTACTTAAAGTTGTCCGCTGCTCGGTTATCTCTCAATCAGAGGTAACGTCGGAGCTTTTGGGTATTGACACGGCAACGTGATATCCTGATTTCTGGGCTGTTTTTCGTAACAATCAAGTACTTGGCGTATCTGTCTAAGCACCGATGATAAAGGTATCCATATCGGGCGTGACTTCAATGCGATAGGAAGCTACCGTTCCCCCGAGTATGGACACTGGCGTGACTTCCATGCGGTAGGAAGCTACCGTTCCCCCGTGCGAGGTATTATATTTCCATAACAGGCGTGACTTCCATGCGGTAGGAAGCTACCGTTCCCCTCGTTATGGACATGGGTGTGACTTCCATGCGGTAGGATGCTACCGTTCTCCCATGCAATGTATTGTAATTTATAATAATATAATTGAGAAATATCATGGCCATTATTATATTGTTTTGTAATCAGTATCGAGACACCTAATTAACATAATGAATAGAGTTGTGCATGTCATGAGTCGGTAGAATATGGAAGGTACTCAAAAGGTTATACCGACCGTATCTCTCGCCAAGGAAGAACAACTCCCCCGTCGTTAACGTCACCAAGTAAGCGGCTTTATAATTATCCTGACATTGAAGCCCTTATTAAGTTGTGTAGGTACTACTCTCGTAATAAAAGTGAGAAGGTACAGGGTAGTACTTCGAACGCTTGTAAGCTGGCATTGTTGTTTTTACGCTCATCGTTATATTTCTATTACAATCTCTTCATATCCTCTTACACTAAGTTGTGTGTATTGATGGCCGCCCTAGTATGGGGGGGGGGGAGGGTCACTGTGCACTGTCCCGCTTTAAACCGGTTTAAACCAGCAAATGTTAGCTCGTTTTTATCTTTTAGTTTCTAGGAACGAAATGAGCGATGGTCGCCATACGGCCTTCTTCGGATTTTACAACCAAATCGGATATTTTTAAGGGTTCTAATATGAAAAATGAGAGCTATAAACCGATATATTTATCTTTTCAGACGTTTTCGTTTATGATGGGCCAAATGTTAGGCGCTTACCCACTATTGAGAACTTTGAAAACTTATACTCTCGATATCCGGATGTCATTATGCAAGCCGACAGTTTTTTATAATGATTTAAAGACACACTGTTAGAGTATAAATTTTTAAAAAATAATGGTTAAGATAGAACGTCAGTCAAAGGTTTGTATATATTTATGTTCAGGGATTATACAACATAGTAGAGTTAATTCCTGTAAGCTGAATCCTTACAAATCACTTGCCTGGTTATTCAACATCTGGGCGTAACTGATGTATTAATAGACTTTGCATTTGCAACTGCGACCGAAATGTTTGAAAAGGATGTCTCATAAAGCGTGAGATATCGAGTATTTTCCAGAGAAACCTACTGTGAACTAAAACAATATAATAATAATAATAATAAATGGGCTTTATTTCGTACCTAAGTAAAAGTACAAAAAGGCGAAGTGTCGCTAAGATTAGCGTTTTTCAACTTAATATCAGCAAATACTAAATATTTATATACCATCAAATCATATTGCTGCCCTGACTTTTGATATTTTAGATAATAACTCTTGTTGTAAATACCTACCTAACCGGGATGCAATACACCAGTTATGAGGAGGCTATAAAATTTAGTATCTTTTACGGCATCAAAAATCTATAAGCAAGCTTTTAGATTTTAGATTGTAGCACACAGAATGACATAAAAGTCCACGTAGCACGTAAATTTGTGATCACTATACCTCACATGTCTATACAAGCAAAGTCAAAAAGGTTACCTTCGTGCTCTAACGCAGAAAGTAAAACTAACATGTGATGACAAATTCTGCTTACAAATGTGCTAATATAACTGCTGACCATACAAGAAAAGTTCAAGATCCTGCGGAGGTCATTCCACTGATATCTATTGTATGTTTCTGGTCATATAGGCAGACAGGCGAACATTATTACGAAATGGAATTTCAAATCAACGCCGAAGCATTGTTTTTTTAAACAATAATGTCTCAAATATTTTCCACGGATCAAAAAGACTAGCACATTTAGAGACAAAGAGATATGTAAACCAGAAATAGAAATGATAACAGCCTTTTATGGATAAATATTTTTAAAAAAAGCTGTTATTGGTGTTGAAGGTTTTGCAACTGGTATTGTAAAGACCAACGTGGAAAGGCGTAGTTTTTAAAGATCCTTTCCTAGTTATTTTTCTTACAGCTATAAAAAGTTTCAGTTTTTTTATGGATTATTATTCTGCATTATTTATAGCTAAGAAAAAACAATAACCAAAACAACAAGGCTGCTATGCGATATCATCTGGATGAAAAACTGCTGGCAGTATAGAAAACAGTGAAAGAGCACGTGCAAAAGTTTGCTTCAGCTTTGACGTAATACAAAAAACATTTCCACGAAAACAGAGGGAAACAACAGTACACCAACCACCAACGTAAATTCGCAATAGTCTAGTTTCGTATGGCTTTATGCTAAGAAACTAGAAAGTCTTATGGAACGTCAGTTAGGGGTCGTTTTGTATCACATCTCTGAAATTATGCAGGGTGTTCTGCGCTCTGTGGAATCTAGGTGCAGGGAAGTGGATCTTTCTGTTAATGGTGGAAGGACCGAGCTAATCCTATCCACTAGGAGAAGAAGTCTTGACGGGCTGGTCTTGCCGACCTTCTTTGGGACCAGACTAGTCCTATCAAAATCAGTAAAATATCTGGGAATTATCGTCGATTGTAAACTGAACTGGAGAGAGCATGTTGAATACGAGGTTAACAAGGCTCGCAATTCAATGTGGGCCTGTAGACGTGTTGTCGGTGTAAGGTGGGGGCTTAAACCCAAAGTGGTATACTGGTTCTACACGACGATAGTACGTCCTTCTCTCTTGTACGGCTCCCTGGTCTGGTGGCCTTGCATTAGAACTGAGACAACTAAGGCCAAACTCAATAAAATTCAGCATTTGGCCTGTATTAGCATTACAAGCGCAGTGCGAATAACGCCATTGAGTGCAATGGAAGCTCTGTTGGATCTCCCACCGTTGGATCTGAAGATCCGCGGTGAAGCGATAGTAGTCGTTCATCGACTGTGGAGTTAGGGTGTGCTATCTACTGCAACCAGGATATACTTCAAGGAAGAGCGAAAGTGCGTGAAGATCTCAACAACATTTCGCAGTGCGGTGTGTTTGAATGTGCAGCCCTTGAAATAACCTTGAAAGAGCTCGTCTTAGTCGTCGTTTCTATATATCGTTCATGTGACGGTCAAATCGACGCGTTTTTTAAGATACTTCAAATAATTCTAGATAAGATTAGTAATGAAAAAAAAATGTCTCATAGCCGATTTTAGTATAAGTTGGCGACAAATAGGAAATCATCAGATTTTATTGACATAGTTCATTCCTACGGTTTGAAAGCAACTATTACCGAATTCGCTAGAGTAAAGAATGACTCCAAATCATGTTTGGACAATATTTTCATTAACACAGATTTGAACTTTCAGTCCAAAATTATTGATACACTTTTTTCTGACCATAAGGGGCAACATACCCTCTTTTCACTCAATACCAATATCGATCATGAATCCAAATTGATTATAGTGTTTTCTAACTCACATATAAATAGTTTTCTACAAGATCTAAAATCAGCCTCATGGAACGAAATTTATAGTAGTGTCAATGTAAACAAAAAATGGGACATATTGTCTCAGATAATACAAAGCAGTTTCAATTAGATAAAAAAGCGAGCTGCGGGAAGTAAGAAATCACCTTGGATTACCCCAGAATTGGATCGACTCAGGAACAGGGTGAGTGCTCTTCAAATGTTTGCCCAAAACGATATAAAATATAAAGATGTTATTAAAAGTTATAATCAGACATATGAGAAACTCTTAAAAGATTCAAAATCGCAATACTATTTAAACAAAGTAAACAATCATGGCAATAGAAGTAAAGGAATTTGGAATACAGTGCGAGAATTAACTAACACACCCAAAACGTCGTCAGATCAGTTTATTTTTTGTAGATTATATTTTTGCGCAGATAATTAGTTTTTAATTCTGATTTCAAAAATGTATAATTCCATACATTGACATTGCCAAACCTTAGGCATTCCAGAAGTTCCTAGGTAGGCCTTAAAATTATCAGATTTCATTTGTTTCGTATACCAGATCAGACCTTAAATTGAACGCAACAGAATGTGGCAGACTGAGAAGAAGAGAAATAAATCTTCAGGTAGAGTAAGCTAATCATATGCTAGATTCTGCCTGAACAATATCTTTCCACCTTGTGTTTCGGACTAGCTTCTTAATTCGTGCTTACGACTTATGTTGATGCATGATAAGAACTAAATTCGATATCTACTACTACTACTGCTGCTAAGATTCCCAGATGATTCGGGTACTTTTCGATTATAGGTAGGAAGCAATTTTCACTATTTTTGGTCCTATGATGACCGGACTATTTACAAAGCAGTGCCAAAATTAGAATTTATCCTTACGCAACGATAAACATATTTACAGATACAAGAACAATAGGTTAAAGTAGATAGACTTTCATATTGACAATTTAAAATTTATAATGGCAGGTGATTCCATGACATTCAAAGCACCCCGTATCGGTAGGTGACACTCAACTCTGACGAATCTGTAGACAGAGACGTATTATGAGGGCAGTATGTTCTCTGGTTGTATTTTGTTGTGACTTTTCTACTGATTTATACGTTCCAACGACGTTTTCGTATGATTTATTGCATTTCAGTATGTGTACTTCGAATATTTTAATTTCAAATTACTAATCAGTGAAGATGTGTGTGAAAATACATTCTTGTCGGTGTTTGGAGTAAATAGTTCTGAATTAGGTCCGGAGCTTCACCAGAGTCATTATTGCCAAGAGTACCTATAAACCACAAATATTTATCTCGTTAAATGTTCAAACGTGATAAAATAGCATGAATATATAATACTCGTCGTTGTATGTCAGAGCGATCCGTAAGACCTTTCCTCTTGATAAAGTCTTGTAAGATAGTAGTAGAAGTTAAACTAAGAGTACCGGCAAACTTTTATACATCCACCTCCCTCACACTTACATATGCAATCTGCCTATGTGTGCAGATGTTTGTTTGTGCAAGGTCAGACGTCAATTCTTCAGTTTTATCTCGCTACAAAAAATGCTTGTGTTTATCCTAGAAAAGCTGCTGCGAGAGCTGATTGAGCGAAAACGGTAAAGTGTCAGCGGTAGCCTTAGACAGCTGTAGAAGCTTTTGATACTGCTTTGATATATGACATCGAAACGTCAAGCTCACCTGATTTGTACTATTAACCATTTTTTGATAATAGTATATTCTGGTTTTAGACGTTTTTCTTCAAATTTTCCACTAACACGAATGACGATGAAAATATCTCAACTAAACCTATCCCTACAACTTGTAAACTTGACAACTCGATACGAGGGATGTCTTTTAAGTTTTGCATATAGAAACATAGTAAGCCGCGCGGATCCAATGTCAGTACTGAACATTTTCGCGCTATAATTTATTACAACTTTCAGAGACAATTATCGCAACAAGAATGCCTTGCTGAGCTACTGTCTGTTTTCGGCAACGAAGCGCCACATCAGTTGACAATTTCCCGTTGGTATGGAGAATTCAAACGTGGACGGGTGAGTCTCAACGACGATTCCAGGCTGGGTGCACCAAAAACGGCAGTCACCCAGGAAAACGTCGATGCTGTGCGCAAACACATCATTGAAGATAGATAGACATGTGACATATCACGAGATTGAGGCATCCTTGAAGATCTCAAAGACCTCAATTCAAAAAAAATTACATGAAGAATTAGGGGTAAGAAAATTAGTTTCTCGTTGGATACTCCACCTGATGACTGAAGAGCAAAAACCAGCCAGGGTTAATTGGTGTCAAAAAACGCTTGACCGTTTCAATTCCGGAAACTCAAAAAATGTGTACAGCATTGTTAGTGGTGATGAATCGTGGATTTACTGTTATGAACCAGAAAATAAACGACAGTCGGCTGTTTGGGTGTTCCAAGGTGAAGAAAAGACAACAAAAGTCATCCGTTCTCGAGTGTTTCGAAAAATATAGTCGCGACATTTGTGTCAAAAGCGGGTCATATTGCAAAAATTCCTCTTAATGAGCAAAGAACTGTTACTGCGGATTGGTATACCACCATTTGTTTGCCAAAAGTCATCACCGAGCTTCTAAAAATCAACCCCGAAAGAAGAATCATCCTCCACCAAGACAATGCAAGCTCGCACAGGCCAAAAAACAAGGCAGTATTTAACGGAAGAAAACGTGGAATTATTGGACCATCCTCCATATGGTCTCGATCTAAGTCCTAACGATTTCTTTACTTTCCCTCCCATAACTGGGATGACCTACTCGAATACCTCACCGTCCAGATCGACTTCCTGAACATCAATCAACTCGCTTCAGAGGTAGTTCTTCTCGGTGATTTCAATGCCCATAATGAGCTTTAGTTGGGCTCAAACAAGACCGACGCAGCAGGTCGTGCAGTCGAAGCGTTCGCTCTTACCCAAGGGCTGACTCAGCTGGTGACGAGCCCTACTTTTTTCCCCCGCGTCTCGTCACACGCCAGTAGCCTGCTGGATCTCTTTCTGACCACGCATCCTGTGCCTTACAGTACTGCTGTCCAGTCCCCTCTGGGTAACTCAGACCACGGTGTTGTGGAGGTTAGGTTTCGGTCCGAACCCGCTGTGGTAACAGAAACTCGTACAGGCCGCAAAAGTTGGCAATACGGACATGCCGACTGGGAGGGGCTCACAGACTTCTTCTCTAGCTTTCCTTGGAAAGATGTCTGTTTTACTGACGCGGATGCGTCGGCTGTCTGTTCTTCAATAACCGAAATTATCCACGTCGGAATGGAGGAATACATCCCTCACACAGTGAAAGTGCCTAGACCAGGGTCCAACGGCTGGTTTAACAAATCGTGGGACGCTGCTTGCCAGCAGAAGATCAAGGCACACAGAACCTTCTTACAAAGCCCCACTGTAGAGAACAGACAAGCCGACGTTGAGTCCAGAAACAAATATAAAGCAGCGGTTCGCAATGCCACAAACCCTTACAACTACAGGCCTATAGCTCTGCTTTCTGTTTTAAGTAAGGTGATGGAGAGGTGCATAAATCGCGAGCTTCTGGACTACCTCGAACGTCACGGCTTGATTAGCGACAGGCAGTATGGATTCCGGCACCAACGATCCACAGGGTACCTCCTAGCTTATGTCACTCAATTGTGGAGTAAACTTATCCAGTCATATGGTCGTTGCTCTTTACATCACGAAAGCGTTCGATCACCTGTGGCACGCTGCCCTGTTAAGCAAACTTCCATCCTATAGCCTCCCGGAAAAGCTTTGCAGATGGGTGGCTGACTTTATCTCTGGCCGCAAGATATCCGTTGTAATTGACGGGTTCTTCTCTTCATCCCACAACGTCAACGCGGGTGTTCCCCAAATATCGTTCTTGGCTCCGACACTGTTTCTCTTACATATCAACGGCCTCCTTTCCTGCACGATCAACCCAATCCACAGCTTCGCTGATGACAGCACTCTACATGCAGGAATTCAGAGTGACAAGCCGATCTCTACTGCTGAGTTGGAAAAAAGAAGACTAGCGATGACTTCCTCTCTGACAAGAGACCTGGAGGCTATCACTGCTTGGGGACGCAACAATCTTGTACAGTTCAATGCTTCCAAAACGCAGTACTGTACTTTGACGAACAAACAGCACCCCTGCGCTCACCCGGTTTCGATGGATGGTCGAGTTCTGACAAAGAGCCATTCATTTCGGCTGGTCGGAGTCCAGATCACCGAGGACCTGATCTGGCACGAACACATCTCGTCAATAGCTGCAGCCGCTGGGAAAAAGATAGGCTATTTGTTTAGAGCTAAGAAGTACTTTTCTTCGCATGACCTCACTCTATACAGGGTCCAGATAAGGCCTAGCCTCGAGTATTGCTCACACGTTTGGGGTGCTGCCGCCCCAGACTGTGGATCGCTTGCTGCCGGAAATCATACTGCCTGCCTGTAGCTAGTCAAGCAGTGACGTTCTACGTACTTCAGAAGCTCCCGATTTAAGCTCGCTTGAATAAGCAGGTATCTGTTTTTTTTATAAATGATTTTTATGAATGATAAATAATAGTAGAACATATTACAGCAAGGTAGCCATGTCAGAGGCTGGATCTAGTACTATAACCACAGCTTAGATAACAATCAGCTATGAAACTCTCCTGTCAATGTCAAAAACGGTCGCCATTTCGGCGGAGAAAGTCGAATGTAAATTCCCCTAGTACAACGATGAAAGCGGTTTTAGTGCTCAGCAGTAGCTGGTGTTGCCTCGCGTCATGCCAGCGGCCACAGATATTCTTTGCAATCTTAAAATGATTATATTTTGATATGATATCATGTTCCGGCTGCTGCTGAGCACTGAAAACTCCTTCGTATTTGTACTAGGGACTTTCACCGCCGAACTGGCGGCCGTTTTTGACACTGACAGGAGAGTTACATAGCTGATTGTTATTTAAGCTGTGCTATAATCTCAGTCAAGTTGTGAGATCGTTTTATTCCCAGGTCGCCGGTTTTCCTGGTATATAAACTCCATGAGAAGAAGAAATATAGGTCTGTTAGGTTTGGTTTCCCAGATACCAAAGTCAGAAAAAAGAAAGGAAGAATTAAAAATAATGGGATGGAAAAATGATTTGTTAAAGCCTTGTTGATAGATCTGTCAAGGAGAAAGAAAAGATAAATAACGGATGGGGCTGAACAAAGAGGAAGAAGTGCATCAATTGGAGAAGTGTTAATTTTCAATAAAGGAATCTTACCTTAGTTTGATCGATCATAAGCTGTAGATACGCGTCGGCTTCAGACACCTTATTGTCGAAGTCTTTTATAGTCGGAGAGAGATGGTGTGTGTCCCACCTCATCTGAAACATAAAAAAGGGGGATAAGGTAATGTGTAAAATTTTAATACAAACCACAGCAACGGATCAGCTGATTTTTCATACTACTGCGATTCATCTCGATTTGTCTTTTAACTTGTGACACCAACTTGTGAGGATATAGCATTTAAAAGTTAAGCACTGATAGCGTAGCTACACAAAAAAATAAAGGTAGACATCCGTGAGAGATATTCACACATTGATCTATTTTTCGACGATGAATTGAATTGAGTATCTGATGTCAGATGCTGGAGCATGGTATACCCATGTACTTTTCGACCCTGAATCAGAATTTGAGATCGAAAAGATCCCTACACCTAGAGTGCACTCCCGGGCCCAAAAACTACCCATAAGAGGGTGAAAATTGGGTTTCGGTTTCCAGATGCTGCCATGTGTTCTTCGACGCTGAATCCGAATTTAAGGACATCGACGATTTTACACCTCTAGAATACGGAGATTGTATGTACAACCGCAGAACAATACCATGTCTACGCTTTTCATTTTTCCACAACGTTCGGTCCATCCAGTGGCTCAACCTGCTCAAGACTGAATAATGCTTTTGGGAGAAACAGAGCGGAGCACCAGACAGGCAACGTTCAGGAAAAAATGACCACAAGTCTTCAAGGTCTGTCCATACTTGTCAAAATCGACATACAAGTCATACGAGTCATACCATATGTATGTCGCCGTGAAAAGTCTGGTCTACATACACACGGGTGTGTTAAGCTGTGAACTCGGTCCATACATACATAAGCTGCACACCTAAGATATTACGGTATTTCACTTATGTATGGTCCAACCCTAGTCTGGTCAGGACCAACGGACTCTAGGGTTCAGCAGGAGACAATGCAACAATCAGACTGCCGAGATACGCGTTCAACAATACATCGATTTAGTATCCATCACTCGAAACTCAATTTCCAGGCGTCATTACGGGTAGCTTTAATGCTGGGGCGGAAATCAAGGGAGGTGGATTTTTTTACCTCAAATTCCAATTCAGAAGAAGGACACATAGATAAATCGTGGTTGTTGAGCATCTGACATTCGAAAATCAATTCTATAAATACAGGGGAATGCCATACTTCAGCATCTAACATCCGGAAACTCATTTATTGGCCCCCTTAGTTTTTGGGGCCGGGGCGAACTCTAGGGGAGTAGGGATCATTTCGACCATAAATTCGCATTCACCATCGAAAAATATATGGAAATACAATGCTCCAGCATCTGGTATCCAAAACTCAATGTTCACCTCCCCTAGAAGTAGTTTTTGCAGCTGGGGCGCCCCTAGACTTCTAGGAGGTTTTCTGATCCCGGATTCAGCACCAAAAAATATGAACATATAACAGATTTGTTTAATAAAAATTCTCCACTACGTACTGTGCGTGTAAGTGAACCGCCAGTACCATGGTTGACATCTCCTGTTAAATCTGCATTCAAGAATAGAGATAAGGTTCTACGTACAAATAAGTTGAATAAATCAACTGAAAACTGGGAAAATATCGTGAACAAAGCCCTTGATTCATTACGCAAGGAAAAAGCTTCTTCAGACAATGTTTCACATTGAAAATTCGTCGAATAACATATACAGGGTGTCCCAGAAGTCGACGTCAAGCCGAAACCGGGTGATAAGCAAAGTCATAACAGCAATCAGAAAAATATTTAAAAAAATTGTATGTATGTGTTTTGAAAATTATAGGTCTTTGAAAAAAATATTGAAATTTCACACCCTACGGCAGTCTGTCAACTCCTGTTACTACAAATATTAACTTTTTTTGGATTTTATTTTTACAATGTAATGATGAATAATGCATCTTCAAACTGGTGTCTCAACCTTACTGCCAACTTTTCTCGTTCAGGAAAAATTGCCACTTATTTCCCAACCAAGTATTCCAATGTAAAACTTTGCTCAACTTTAACTGGCTGTACTGGAAAAAATGTACTACGAGAGTTTGGCAAGTAACCTTAAAAGTTAGCGCATTTAATAAGGATTCCAAAATGGTATAACACTTAGAAGATTACTCGTTAACTTATGCACAATTTTTATTTGAAGAAAAACTCATGAAAATTTTTCAAAATTTCCTAATTAAACAGCGATTATGAAAACGCACAAGGACCCTTAAGGATAACTGTTTGCACAACAGTGGGCGTCAAAATGCTGCTGATGATGATTTACCTTTACAGCAAATGCTCAAACTGTTTTCCTTCAGTCGCAATACATGCTCGACATCTTCTTAAAAAAGATCGGGTTATTAAACGAGCGAATCCACGGTTATTAACAAACTCAGCTGCTTTCAATAGTCCTTGCCGTAGCTCAGCTACATTTTGAATCGGCTTGAAATACACTTTTTCTTTTACAGTTCCCCAGTAAAAAATCTAACGGATTCAAATCTGGTGACCGGGCTGGCCACGGTATTGTACCAGACCGCCCTATCCATCTGCTTGGAAAGTTTTGATCGAGATACTCTCTCACTGAGAGTGCATAGTGCGCTGGGGAGCCATCATGCTGAAACCATATGTCCCTGTAAATACTCAGTGGCACGTCCTCCAATAAATTTTCTAAATGATTTGGCAAAAAACCTAAATAAACCTCAGCAGTCAAAGTCTCTGGGAACTCAAACGGACCGATTATTTTACCATTTAAAATTCCTGTCCAATGGTTTATCTTGAAGCGATATTGAGATTTATCTTCTCTCATCAAATGTGGGTTTGCGACGTGCCACTCATGTAAGTTATGCAGGTTCATGTACCCATCTTTCTTAAATGTGGTCTCACCTGACCATAAAATTTTTTCAAAGAACCGTGGATCTTCCCTGTGTCTTTCTAACATTGTGCGACAAAAAGCAACTCGGGGCTCATAATCCCGGGGCAGAAGAGCTTGAACACGCTGTACGTGGTATGGATGGATGGATTGGACAGGAATTTTAAATGGTAAAATAATCGGTCCGTTTGAGTTCCCAGAGACTTTGACTGCTGAAGTTTATTTGGATTTTTTGAAAAATCATGTACAAAATTTATTGGTGGACGTGCCACTGAGTATTTACCGGGACATGTGGTTTCAGCATGATGGCTGCCCAGCGCACTATGCACTCTCAGTGAGAGAGTATCTCGATCAAAACTTTCCAGGCAGATGGATAAGGCGGTCTGGTACAATACCGTGGCCAGCCCGATCACCTGATTTGAATCCTTTAGAAAAAGTGTATTTCAAGCCGATTCAAAATGTAGCTGTGCTACGGCAAAGACTATTGGAAGCAGCTGAGTTTGTTAATAACCGTGGATTCGGTCGTTTAATAATCCGATCTTTTTTAAGAAGATGTCGAGCGTGTATTGCGGGCCGAAGGAAAACAGTTTGAGCATTTGCTGTAAAGGTAAATCATCATCAGCAGCATTTTGACGCCCACTGTTGTGCAAACAGTTATCCTTGTGCGTTTTCATAATCGCTGTTTAATTAGGAAATTTTGAAAAATTTTCATCAGTTAACGAGTAATCTTCTAAGTGTTATACCATTTTGGAATCGTTATTAAATGCGCCAACTTTTAAGGTTACTTACCAAACTCTCGTAGTACATTTTTTCCAGTACAGCCAGTTAAAGTTGAGCAAAGTTTTACTTTGGAATACTTGGTTGGGAAAAAGTGGCAATTTTTCCTGAACGAGAAAAGTTGGCAGTAAGGTTGAGACACCAGTTTGAAGATGCATTATTCATCATTACATTGTAAAAATAGAATCCCAAAAAAGTTAATATTTGTAGTAACAGGAGTTGACAGACTGCCGTAGGGTGTGAAATTTCTATATCTTTTTCAAAGACCTATAATTTTCAAAACACATACCTAAAATTTTTTTTAAATATTTTTCTGATAGCTGTTATGACTTTGCCTATCACCCGGTTTCGGCTTGACGTCGACTTCTGGGACACCCTGTGTAAGATTTTGGGCAAAATGAACATTCGATCGGTAAACCGGAATGCCACAGAGTTGAAAAGATCCGACAAAAATGAATGATTGTTTTGTTTCTATATTGGAAAATAACAGCTCTCACGATTGTTTTGTTTCTATATTGGAAAATAACAGCTCTCATTGCGAAGAATCAATTGAGTTTTTCAATAACAAAGCAGGGAATGACCTAAATTTTTTGCTACAACCCAAGAAGAGGTGTGGACTACCCTAAAATGTATAAGTCAAGCACCAGTGGAAGGGCAACCAAATGATCAAATTATTTTTTTCAACGATCAAATCTCATTACGCATATGAGTCAATGTTTAGTAAACGAATATTTTACAAATTCATGGAAAGAATTACTGATCCTTTTGATGCAAAAATGATTTTACCACAGTCACACAGTGACTTACGATCGATCAGTTTGTTACCTGTACTATCAAAACTCCTTCAAAAATCATTTCGTTCGAGCTAAAAAAATACTTGTCTGAAAATGATTCAATTCCTGATAAAAAAATCTGGATTCAGAGAAGCACAATCCTCTGCAGACAGGAGTGATGCTAGTATCCTGTTACCCCTTGACTTTTCTAAAGCGTTTGATAAAATTAATCATGACGTTTTAATGTCAAAGCTAAAATATTTAGGACTATGTGAATCAAATTTCGATGCTATATTACTGGTAGATCTCAGGGTGCGGTTTTAGGAAATGATTTTCTGGACTAAGAGATGTTACGTCTACAGTATCGCAAGGTCTATATTAGGTCCTGTCAGACATAATTAAAGTAGTTAAAAGCTGCAATGTTATGACATAATATGCTGACGTTACGCAGATGTATATATCTTTTAATCCCCAAAATTTTGAATATTCAGCATCACTAATTAATAATGATTTAAATACAATTTCAAATTATGCGAAGCACAACGGTTTGAAACTTACGCTGAAAAAACTAGAGTTATCCTTTTCAGCCCAAAAACGAAAAATAACTTACTGAAGAATAATATGCACCTTTTTATTGAAAAAACCAAATTAAAGTTCGGTAACTGTGTTACAAACTTCGG